ATAAGAAAGCAGAGTTTTATATGTTGCCAACTTTTTAACTTTTATTCAATATAATATATAATCCTATATAGCGATGAATAATTGTAATATCTAAAAATACATGATAAAATTGATAAAATACATAATAAAAAATATATTATAGATTAAATAAATAAAATGAATATTTTATAAAATAAAATGCAAAAGAAAAGAAATTAAATATAATGATACTAAATTAACAATTATTGATTTGAAATACTTCACACTCATCAATCTTAAATTCTTTATCAGTATAAATGCTATTATAATACTGTGGTTGAGAAATACATTTCATTGTGTTTAAGTCAATAACTAAATCTTTGATACCAAATTTTGGCCCGACCCATAAACAAGAATTGGAAGAATTATCAACATCACGAACATTACCAGTTTTCATTCTACCAACAATAGAATCTGCATTTGGTTCGCCATTTGTAAAACAAAATAAGAAACTACTATCAATTTGTGGTGCGCAAAGTGATAAGAAATCAAGGTCTAAACCATTTGGTGCAAATCCACCAATAATTGCATTTGTTCCTTGAACTTTCGCCACTACTAAAGTATTAGGGCGGTTAATACAAAGTTCCTTGTAATTTTTTATGGATACTTTCGTATTATCTGTACATTGAGAGGTGATGCGATATAAGAGGTTGAGTTTACGGGGTACCGAAAATGGTTGTTTTTGTTTAATGGATCTAGGATTGAATTTTTTAAACATTCGTTTTATAGTTTTACGTTTTTTTAAAGATATACTTTTTGGTCGGTTATCTATCCATTTTAAAATAAAGTCTGCATGGTAATGATTTATTAGAGTTGAGTCATCAAGGAAAACACGACGAAAGATATCATTGTATCTGGATCTAACATCTTTGTCGAGATAGTTTTGTAATATGCGGCTACTCATGTTCTGTGGGATAACTTTGCTAAATGGAATTATTTTTCCATAAAAGTCGTTTCGAGAGATTCGATCAAATTTTATAAAACCAATAATATCTTTCACAGCATCTTTAAGCAATGTCCATTCCCCGAAAGACCACAAAGGAACCTCTTGTTTTAAAGTCTGATTTTGTCGAATTCCCCATGAAATTAGGATATCCCAAGCGATACCTTGATTGATAAACAAGCGAACATCGCTTAGAATCATGGAAAAACATGATTCTTTCAAATCATTCAAGTCATCTGCTTCTAATAAATATGAAGGATTGGTGCTGATTTTATGAATAAGATGATGTTGAATTGCTTCGATTGTTTCGTCAATATCGTCAATGAAAACGTCATTAATAATTTTCACAAAGTTTTTTTGGAGCCATGTTGTCTCGCATTCTATTATGTGTTGTTGCAAACTGGTTCGTATATCATTTAAGCCAAAATGTTCGGCTGCTTTAATGAAACTTATAAAAAATGCTCCATCCAATGTATTCAAGTCAACGTCATTTTTATAAAGAAGTCTATTGTTATATGAATTAAAAATTTATAAATTTATATGGCAAATTGAAATAGAAAAAAAAAAGACAGAGCATCTCAAATATAACGTACCTAAGCAACATTCGAAACGCATGTGGAGTGACCATAGGTTCCTCAAGAACTATAGAGTCACCATCTTTCATGATATAGTTGTGAGATAAAGCTGTTCGAAAATATTGTGATTGAGAAATCAACACATCCGAATTACAATAGAACTCTTCTACATTTGGCAATTGACCAATTTTTAACGTAACATCAAATCCTTTACGAGAATAATACTCAGGAAATGATTCTGCAATTTGTGTTAAACATTCGTGATCATTATCTTGGAGATAATCGAATAAGTCTAATGAAAGGCGGCTCAATGATTCTAAGTTTGAGTCCATCGTTTTTTTTTTTGTTTTTTTCGTTTTTTTTAAAAAAAAAGTGAACAGTGGCAGGCTACAACCCGTCGAATTTATATGATTTAAAAACGCGTGGTCTATTTTTATATGAACATACTCTTTTTGGAAATGATAATGGGTTGTTCTATCTTTAGTAAAAATCTGTAGACAGTGCTACTAGAATTAACCTTAAAAGATTATTATTATATTTTATATATGATAAAAATATTTTTGTTGCCAAGATAAATGATTACTTGTTCAGGGAGTAAGTACTTTAGCGTTTTAATGTTACCTTATCTCTAAACTTTTCCACAATATCCCTGAAAATGAATAATTGTGTGAGATCTCATAATACTAATTACTGACTTACTCAATATCGATATAATCACACAATAATAAAATCCACTTTATAATCACAACAAAGTGTGTAACAGGCTGTGTGATTATAGGGACCGATTCCTGGTAAATTTGTAACCAATCTCAACAGTATTAATAATTTTAGTGCATTTGGGTAATTATTATAAGGTATCACAACTTTGAGGGTTCACATATGAGCTCTAAATGTATTAATGGTTGACTTTGTGAAAGTGAATACCATCCATCATTTTGCACAATTTTGATTCATCAAATGGAGTTAATTTCTAAAAAAAAAGTTTGTACTAATTTGGTTTGATTATCTGTAATTGTTAAAGTTTGAGCGAAATTAAAATTACATAACATACGTAAGTTTTATACGTACTGACGTACGAAATCCTTCCGGACGACCGTTTCGGTATCGGCGTATTCCAAAATCAATGTTCCCCTGCATATTATTACTTCCAACAATATGACTCGATAACTATAAACTATATATAGAAAATTTTGTTATAATTATCTATCAAAATTTATCAAAATAATCTCTACAATTTTTTTTTTAACTAAATAAATACACAAAGGTTGGCACGGTCAGTGGTCATTCTTGACCTGACCAATTGGACCGGTCCGATCCAAGGGCTTAAGCACTAGTCAAATTGATTAAATTTGTATATAGAGTATATATTGGTTTTTAATTAACAAACAAATCAGTTTGGCTCGGGCCATTGACCAACAAAATGATAATAATAATAAAAGACATTCATGTGATTGACTAATTTATGATGATCAAAACGTGATCACTGACCAATAAAAAAATCAATGTTCGAGTCTTATTGGTAAAGCTTCATTTATAAGCAGTTCTGTTCTGTCTTATAGTTATCACGAACTTCACTAGAAGCATATCGTAATGTTTGGTCTATATCGTTAATTAAAACACTTTATATTACACATATGCATTTAGATCTGTTATGATGCAAACATCGAACAATTTTTCTTTATAAATGAAAATCCTTAAAAAAAATACATAGTTTGATAGATCCCATTAAACTCGTATTTCTTTATAATAGGCATGATTTTTTTTTAAAAAAAAATATTGGATGTCTTTAGGCAGTACTCTAGCCATGACAACATTTTATTCGAGCGGTCACATTCTGATTGGACGAAATCAAATTTTAAGAAAGATATCTCACTATCTAAACCGATACAATTTTGTAGAATCAAATAAAAAACATTCATTGATTATAACAAGTGATTCCGAATATCTTCGCTCAAAGTTTTAGTTTTGATAGTTATTTAAGTTTTCAAAACTTTGAGCGAAGATATCTTGTCGATTATATCTAAAATTGATGAGGGCGAAACCAGTGCTAAATTTTAGTAAAACAATCAGGTTAGGTGAAATTCACGTTAGTATTATACAGTTATATGATCGAATCGGCGGAATTGGGCCTTTAGCTAGAGACACCAAATTTTAGACTATATTTGAATAATTTTAAGAATATAGTGATTATACGAAACCATGCATCAAAACTATCTGTTTTAGTTAAAACCCATCTGTTTTCTATTGGGGAACGCTTTATTTGAATATATCATTTGATGTCTGAGCTCTACTAGAATATGTTATTTAATATTAATTTTGTATTGTTATTTTTAAAAAAGTGATTTGTGTAATTTTTTTATAATATTTATTTTTTGGTTTCTTACCTAGTTTGTTTTCAAAAGTTTAAGTCAAAATAACTATAAACAATATTGTAATACAATTAAAAAATATAACATGCTACATAGTAATCTTAATAAAATTTTATTTAAAACATTGTATAAATTTAAGAATATTTTAATTTAGCAAATATATTACCAATAATCATTAAGGTTTGTCAAAATGGGAAGACAGATACTATTTAGTTCTATATACTAAAAGTTTATATTTTCAAATAATTATAGATATATAAATATAGATTTTAATAAGTCTATATATTTAACTTTAATATACAATAAATTTTGGAAAACTTTAAAGAATTAAAAATATTATAACTAAAATTAATAAATATACAGTATATTTTTCTAAAGCAATTATTCAATTTTATCAAGATAGTAATGGATTCTTAAAATATAGCAGTTTACTAAATGAGTATAATAAAATTGAGACACAGATAAATTAAAGTTCCTTCCATTAATTTCGTATAAAGAAAGGCAAAAAATTCTTAACAGTAACCTTCGATTAATCAATGCTCTATTTTATTAACGATGATAATATAATGTTTAAAAATTATAAGAATTTACTATAGATCATTATGATCGAGCAATTTACTGTAGATCATTATGATCGTTACACAAATTTTGGGTACGTCTACATAGTAGACTGAATACCCAATCCTAAGTTCTTGCGTTGTTGAAAAAAAAAATAATAAAAAACTCAAGTTTATTAATGTAATGTAATACGACTATTAAACATAACTCACACATCGAAAGTTGAAGTCTACGAATTATATTAACACGAACCTAGTATACCCCTGAAAAAGTTGCGTAACTGAGTTTTAATTTAAAATGTAGCTAAACATATTGATTATTATCCAGCAAGGGAGTCATCTGGGTTTTAATTTGAATAAACACGATTACATCATATAACATAAAAAATATCATAGGAGTTTGCTGGATAACAATACGTTATCGTGCAAGCTCTCTTGTTATTTTTTGTACGTTATTACGTAAGCACACCAATCCCGAATTAAAACTCAGTTAGCCAACCACAAAATTTGTTCCGTCGGAGAAATGATTGGCTAAAACGTGCCGCTACACGGCAAAACAAATTTCATTATATTAATCGCTGCATGACCAATATCTTATACGAAATAATTCTAGCAATGATGGGATATGAAGAGATATTGCCTCGATGAAATGCGTACGTACGAATGTTATTTAAATAATAATTCAAATAATGTATAGTATATTATATATATAGGAAAATGCCATTATTTCTAAACCTAAACTCCTGTTAAACCGATCGACAAATGGTTAATTTTTAAAAAAAATTTAAATATTTTATTAAGAATGATATTATTAGGGTTGATATTTTTGTACTCTATTGCTGTACGTATTGAAAATTTCGTCTACTCTAATCTATTACTTCATTATTCCATTTTAATATTACTGTTACTAATGTTTATAATTACATCGATATATTTAGCATTTTAACCTAAATAAATATATATATATATGTTGTGAGAATTGAACGATAATAGGGTCGGAATCCACTTAGATTAAAATGGAATAATTATCCCAACCCTAACCTTAAAAATTCAGAATCATATATATTTAATAATTGCAAATAATTAGAATACTGTAAAACATTTGTTATATGTAAGAAAAATGCATCATTGACCATTCACGCAACAAAATGACAACATTAAATATTATATAATGTTTTTTACAAGATAAACAAATAATTTGTAGAATAGTCAATACGATTATTAAATAGTGCATATTTGCAAATATTAATGAAAGAATTGATAATAAAATACAA